TGGGCCAGACGGGCAGGTGCGTTAATGATCGCACCCGAGAGCACGCTGCCTCTACAAGAACGACGCCTTCGGGGCACCTTGCAATTCATTGCAATAGATGCTCTTGCACCCCGGCCTTCAATGACACCAAGATTTTGGGGGCCCCCTTGTAGTGAAGTCTCTCAGTTGCTAGACGTGTTTAAATTGTGTTGCTCCGGGTTGACATTCACGCATGAGTTACAAAAAGAAAGCAAACTGCAATTCTTGGACCTCGAGCTGTCGTTTTTGGGGGACCATGTTTGTTGGAAGTACGCGCCTCGAACTAGGAAGGGCATCCTTCCTTTTGATTCCGCCCACTCGAAGGTAGTGAAAAGGGGCATAGCCAGTTCGTGCCTGGGGGCTTCTCTCAGAAAGTCATGTTTGCACAGTGCGCAAGGCAGCTTCGAGGGTCAGATAGAACGCCTGCAGAGGGCTGGTTTTCCGTTGAGAGCTTTGGTTGAAGTGGCAGAAAGCTTAATCAAAAAGATTAAAGGTAATCGGAAATCAAACAGCGATAGACCGACCACGAGGCCTGTTGTCATTCCATATATGCACAATATAACGCACAATCTGAAAAAGGTAGCCCAGCGCTACAATGTACCGGTAGCTTTTTCAGCACCCAATAAGATGGCGCGACTTTGTCGCCAGATCAATTCACCACAGCCATCTTCAGATCCCTGCACTACCAAACATCGAAATAAGTACGTTGAATGTGCCACTGGCGTCGTCTATGAAATCCCCATGACGTGTGGGATGACATACGTGGGCCAGACGGGCAGGTGCGTTAATGATCGCACCCGAGAGCACGCTGCCTCTACAAGAACGACGCCTTCGGGGCACCTTGCAATTCATTGCAATAGATGCTCTTGCACCCCGGCCTTCAATGACACCAAGATTTTGGCTAGATACAAAGATAAAGTGTCGCGGGAATTACACGAGGCGTATGCAATTAGGACCAGAGACAAGAATTGTATAAGTGACACGTCGGTATCCTTATCTACAAATGAGTTTGAATTTTTGAAACGCGGGCTGAGTAGATAGTAAAAAAATGAATTCTTTTTTTTTTGTGTGTGTGTGTGGCTATATAACGTGTGAATTTTTCAATAAACATCAGTTGAGAGTGCGCCTTGTCCTGTTTCCCTTCGTCTGTGTCCCTGTGTTTTTTTTTTCGGCGCTTTTTTGCTTGCAATGAACCAACTGGCCCAAATCTCCACTTTACTGCAGTTTATTTCTTTTGCAACGGGCTCTGTTCTATGTTCTCCTAACAGCCATCAATCCGTTTATCCTTTAATTAACCTTATCGCCCTCTCGTGCTGTCGAGCCAGACACCTTTCATATGCCATTCGCCGTGGATGCTATCCATGTGAAGTGACCTCCCTCTTCAACGGAGTCCAGCCTTCTACTGGTCATGCCAGGAGAATTTGCAGAATTCTCCGGTCTGAGACTTGGAAACAAGTTGAGAGGTACAGGGATTGCTTGAAGATCACGTGCTATTCTTCTGGTGCCGGGACACACGCTGCGGAACAAGCCTTCAGAAAACACCTTCGAACAGCGGCACAATACACAGATGTCCTTTGGGAGCAAGTCCGGACCTCGCTGGTGAAGAAGAGTGCCGCCAGCGTCAAGAAGCAAGAGGGTGTCACCATTCTTGGAGGTGCCACTTTACCACCAGACATCAAGTCTGCCTTAGACCACGGACCAAAGTTTAGCCAGGAACCGAGATTGTGCCCCGTCACAAAGCTGTCCTTGGTGAGATGGATGGGCGGCTTGGCTGTGCCTGAGCACCAAGAACGATGCGTGGCCGACGGCGTGGACGTTCTCCAACGCACCGCTGGCCAATCAACGAGAAGCTTCAAGACCAGCAACATCGTCACCTACTTTTCGGAACACAACCTCAAGCTGGTTACTGCTGACAAGGAAGGAGGATTCGTCGTTGCTCCGTCCGCTCTGTACGGTGCGAAGGCAAGCCAGGCCATCGACAAGAATTTCAAGCGAGTCTCTCCGGGACCCTTGTCAAAGGTGAAATCTCGGGCCCAGGACTTATGCAGCAAATTGGAACTATCGGGGTTGCTAAAGAGCGTGAAGTCGAGCAAGAAATTGAACCTCGACATATTCTTTACTGCTAAAACACATAAGCCTGAAGTTCCCTTTAGGGCCATTGTTACAGAAAGAGGCGCTTGGCAGTTTCACATGGGTAATTTCCTGCGCAAACATTTGTGCGCGCTTGAGTTGCATGATCCGTTCATAGTGCGAAATTCAGAATGTGTCATTGAATTTTTGAGGCAAGGGGGCCAGTGCATGCGCAGTGGGTTTTCCATCGACGTCGAGGATTTATTTTACTCGATTTCTCATGAACCCCTATTCTCGGCGGTGAGACAATGCATAGACCAGAACGGAGTTGTCGCTTTCCAGAATTCTTCGGGCATCAGTGTTGATAGCTTTCTTGAGCTCCTGGTTTTTTACTTAAAACATACGTTTGCGTCATTCGAGGGGGGCCTTTATGTGCAAAGAAAAGGCGTTTGCATCGGGTCCAGTGTTGCACCTGTTTTGTGTGACATTTTTCTAGGCAGCTGTGGAAAAAACATCGCTTTGAACATTTCGAACGATGACAATGTGAAGATCTTCAGATACGTCGACGATTTCCTCATCCTTAGCCGCTCGGCGGGGCCCCCTTGTAGTGAAGTCTCTCAGTTGCTAGACGTGTTTAAATTGTGTTGCTCCGGGTTGACATTCACGCATGAGTTACAAAAAGAAAGCAAACTGCAATTCTTGGACCTCGAGCTGTCGTTTTTGGGGGACCATGTTTGTTGGAAGTACGCGCCTCGAACTAGGAAGGGCATCCTTCCTTTTGATTCCGCCCACTCGAAGGTAGTGAAAAGGGGCATAGCCAGTTCGTGCCTGGGGGCTTCTCTCAGAAAGTCATGTTTGCACAGTGCGCAAGGCAGCTTCGAGGGTCAGATAGAACGCCTGCAGAGGGCTGGTTTTCCGTTGAGAGCTTTGGTTGAAGTGGCAGAAAGCTTAATCAAAAAGATTAAAGGTAATCGGAAATCAAACAGCGATAGACCGACCACGAGGCCTGTTGTCATTCCATATATGCACAATATAACGCACAATCTGAAAAAGGTAGCCCAGCGCTACAATGTACCGGTAGCTTTTTCAGCACCCAATAAGATGGCGCGACTTTGTCGCCAGATCAATTCACCACAGCCATCTTCAGATCCCTGCACTACCAAACATCGAAATAAGTACGTTGAATGTGACACTGGCGTCGTCTATGAAATCCCCATGACGTGTGGGATGACATACGTGGGCCAGACGGGCAGGTGCGTTAATGACCGCACCCGAGAGCACGCTGCCTCTACAAGAACGACGCCTTCGGGGCACCTTGCAATTCATTGCAATAGATGCTCTTGCACCCCGGCCTTCAATGACACCAAGATTTTGGCTAGATACAAAGATAAAGTGTCGCGGGAATTACACGAGGCGTATGCAATTAGGACCAGAGACAAGAATTGTATAAGTGACACGTCGGTATCCTTATCTACAAATGAGTTTGAATTTTTGAAACGCGGGCTGAGTAGATAGTAAAAAAGTGAATTCTTTTTTTTTTTTTTGTGTGTGTGTGTGTGTGTGGCTATATAACGTGTGAATTTTTCAATAAACATCAGTTGAGAGTGCGCCTTGTCCTGTTTCCCTTCGTCTGTGTCCCTGTGTTTTTTTTTCGGCGCTTTTTTGCTTGAGATGCCGAAGTTTCAGCACGAATCTTATGCAAAAGTTATATGTTATTTTTTTTTTTTTAATTTCAATGGAAAAATGGCGGCCGACGAAGCTTCAAACACTTGGAGCTGTATGGCAGTAGAAACCGAAAACCGGCAAAATTGCGTCCTATTTTTCCTACGAAATTTTCAGAACATCCCTTAATAACTTTTGATTAAGATATCGGTTCGTGCTCAAACTTTGGTATCTGGTTCGGTTCGGCCCAAAGGTATCTAGCGCTACCTCTGGGAGGAGAGTGTGCGAAAGGCGATGGGTAGCTTATTTTTGCTGCTAAATAAACCCTGCGTCTTTTTTTTTTTTTCCTTTCTAAAAAAGGGGGGGGGGGGGGGGGGCACCTTGTACGTTATACAAAAGTGTAGACAGATTCAAACGCGTCACCACGAGATTCGTGCTTCGAATGCCACATGGCAACGAGTTCAAAAAGAAGCTCGGCACCCGGCTTTCAAACCACGAATATGGCAGTGACGGACGTCTGCCAGACTGTATTTTACGTGATGTATAGGCAGAGCGACCCCGGCTTTACAGTAAGCACGCCAACGACGGCTTGCGAGCGACTCTGGTCCCGTTAACGCTCCGTGTAATTTCACTTTCTTTTTTTGTCTGTTTAGTATTTTACCGGTTGTCTTACAGCCGCTCCCTTAGCAGGATATCCTTTAGTAGAAAGGATATTGAAAAGGAGCTTCAAGGTGTCGCCTGGCAGCGGCATAAGGCTGATTCATATATTTGCGTTAATTGTACTGCGGTGCGTTGCGTTGCACGAGGATACGTCGCATGGCCCTCGGCTGCCAGTGCAACTCGTGGTAGCATCACGTCCCGTCCGGCTGTAAGCGATTGTAACGCAGTCAGCGGTATCTGTATCTAAAAGGCACGTGTTTGAACCATCCCTTTCTTCAAGGAACCACACGCAGAGGTATCCGCAATTTAGTATATTTTTCTCCGCCTTTCCGAAACTCCAGTTCCTTCCATTATCAGTTTGTTTAGTCACTAATCACTGATCCCTTATTTTCCTTATATACTTTTGGTCGCTTAGTTTCGTCGGCACAAAAATACAGACGTCTCTTGATTTCTGCATTACGATTCTCTAGAATAAATGCATTTCAAGTGATATTTAAAAATACCAATATGCAATGATGTTTCCTGGTTTGCACTCTACTGCAAACAAAACCCGTCAGAACTTGCCGGACTAAATTAACAACATAAACCAAAACATATATCAACATTTTATTGTTGTTATTGATGCAGAGGCGACGTCCTAAAATATATCCGGTTTTGAAGGTGACCATTGTGGCACAAAATAGAAGTATAGCAGCGAAATAGCTTAGCTCAGAAGTGGGTTATAGAGATAATACTCGAATCATTCTAACGGCAAAATGCTTCGCTTGCCCACATGAGATACTACCTCTGTTGATTAAGTGCTTCGTATAATGTCAACCGTTCTCTTTGAAGCAAAAGCTTAAAATGGGAGTCGACATGAAAGGAAAAAAAAAATGAAGTCCCATTTTTAGGCTTAGCAAGCAAATTGACCACAAACTCCTTATTCGATGCTTTCATTCCTGTGGGAGGACATTCGTATTCTCACAGTTGGCACAGGTGCCACGCCCCCGCCGAGGCTGTGTTTGAAATGTATCTGATCGTATGGTACGTACACCACGTCAGATGTCTTCAACTTCCGATAGTCTTTCCGGTGTGGAATGCACACTGATGTTATTAAGATAGATCAAGAGAGCATGTGTACACGGGCTGTTAGAGACGAAATATAGATATCAATATATCCCTTTCCGTCTAGCCTCTCTCTCGCAATCCCATCTTAAACATTTTGCGCCAGCCCTGCGCACACGGACAGTTTCTAGGCTATGGCTCAACCTGCACGAAAAGGTGCAGCGTATCATTCTGAACAAACCCACCATTCACCAGGCTCTCTGCTGTAGACAGCGATGGAGCGCCGAAGCCCATGTTTTTAGATCCCCTTGGTCTTTGGAAAACTGAATATTCTGGATAGACACGTGCGTCTATCCTGCCCGATATGGTTTTCATTTTGTCCTTCGGATGAACAATACCGAACACACAGGTATTGCGAAAAGGCCATTCGAGTTGAGAGTCGTTCTCGCCGGGATGAATCCTCAACAGACAGTCAAGGCGTAGCACTCTCGCCTCTTTTCTAAGCTGGATGTGCTGGGAAACTTTGTAACCGTATATGTACCGGGTGCTGCCTTCAACGTAGAGACCGCCCTTGGTACGCGCCTCCCTCATGATGCCCGCCCAGTCTTCAACGTACCAGTGAAGCGTTTTGGGGCCACAAAACCCGAGCACGTTCTGAGACACCAGCCCTGTTGAAGCGAGCACCTTGTCGGACAGCTCAGCCACCTCCATGCTCACGTGCTGCGAGATCTCGACACGGGAATCCGCCACGGTGTCCCGCACCGTTGCAATCACTTGTTGAAGCATCTCTCGCTCTTCGGCGAAACTTGAATTGCAGAGCTCGGTGAGGGTGTTACACTTGGCATTAAATCCCGATGTTTGAGTTTCCAACTGCAGCTTGAACCTTGCACCTTCCGCTCGGACATCCTGGCAACACTGGTTGAGGCTCGTTTGCATAGCCATCAGGTCGTCGGAGATCTTGGCAAGGGCTTCCTTCACTTCCAGGCGTGCCCTTTCGATGCCATCGAGTTGAACGGTGGCAGGTTCACCGGGGGGAAGAGGCTGGTTCCGTGGAGTTGCACTGCAGCTCGTCCTGCAGTGCACGACGATGTTGCTCCGAAGCACGGACGTCCGGCACCGGGGGCAGGAGACAGCATGGAACTCACAGTCCTTGTAGTGGTTGAGGAGGTTTGCCGCAGGCCCCACGAAGTCGCAGCCGTGGGGGACATTCCAGCACGCCACCTTGGAGACGACAAGAAGCCGGGATGTGTAGTATCTAAATTACAAGTGTATACGGCGCGCAAGTTCGTCTGCTCTTTGCGCACTTCGTGAGTTCGTTTACCCCCAAACGCGCACTCGAGCTTTTGTTTCCCCTCTATTTAACCAATGAAAGCGCGCGCTTAGCTGCCCCGCCATTGCGCGTTTCCTACGCGTTGTCTATGTTGTCATTTGATTGGCATGATATATCTTGCCTTCTTATACGCGAAACACGCACTTTGGAACACTTGCTCGCCGTATCGAAAGCGTGTAAAGAGCACTATTTTCGGTATTCATCAATGTCAGTACTGAGTACCTTGATTTTAAAAATAAAGTGAATCTCAAAGGTTTGTGTACCTCTGAAAAATACCGTCTTTAATTTTCGACAGTTCCGTAATATTTTCCCAATTCACACGATGGAGTGGAAAAATTATTGTTTCATAAAAACAACCTATCTACCACTCTGTAACCAAGAAGGAGCTGCTTTTCAAAGCTTTAATTAGCCAATGTTTCCATCAAAACGACCAGATCCGAAATTTTTGATTACCAAACAACCATTTTGCGTCGCGATAGGGCTGTCCCCATATTGCGACGTACAAGTTCGTCACCGCCATACTCTTCGTTTAAAAGCGGCTCTACTTTTGGAGAAACTGGCGTCTTCTAGCAGAGAGACAGGGAGCACATTGTTCGCAATGTTAAAACAGTGGGCCAGTCCAAACAAGTTCTGGGCACTGCACGCCCTACCAGGATCGAAAGTGGTTGTTGCTTTCTTTATCTCCGTTCAAGAGATGATTGACCAAAGCGTTACAGTCAAGTTGCTCAAGTTGGTTGCGAAGCGTGCCCCAGCCCTAGTATTCACACCACTCTTTGTCCAAGTATTTGACGTGCATTCGATGCTGGTGCCGAAGCCAATTTCATCCTCGGAATATCGGTTATGTTCTTCCCTTGCATGTGTATTGAAGCTGAACAATGGTACGAGCTGCCTTTCAAGAAGATGGTGCACGAAACCCAAGACAGTAGACAATTCAGCTCGAAATGTGCTGGCGCACTCCTTCAAAACACAAAATTTGCGTAAAGATAAAAAATTATAACAAAAAAAAATGTCGCTTTTATGAGTTATTAAGATAATGCGAATAATGCAAAGGTCCAAGCAAGCTGGACAAGAATGACACCAAAAATCCCTGGAGAGGGAAACAAGCGGTACAAAAGACAAACACAAATCTCCAAACAGCGAAATAACTGGTGCGCGACCGAACAAATCCGCCTGGTCCTGCTATCAAACCAGGGACCTCTCTATTTCCAGTGGAGCGCTCTACCAGGGCCCGTTTGCTCGAAGCTGGTTAACTAACCGCGGTTAACCGGATTTCCCAACGATGGGGAATTTTGGGTCACGTGACCGGCAGAGTAAGGACGGCGGGGAAACATGGTGGTGCCCCGGTGAGTGAGCGCCGCTTGCTTTGGAACTAATACGTCGTACTAGCTGCAGTAGCGGGCGCGTTAGTCAGCAATGAATTGTGCAGGAGGTTTTCGCGTTGCTTTACCTCACTTAAAACGCCAAACATGAGCAATGACCTCGCCGCGTTTTTTAGATAGACTTTCGACTCTGGCCATTCCTAAGCCTAAATGAACGCGATAGTTGTCGTCATGGCAGCGTCTTTGGAAAGTGGATTGCCTTGACTCAATCGGCCGAGTATTGATAGCACACAAAAGCAGAGTGTTCCCATCAACGTTCCCATAGACCTTTTGCTAAATTTCAAAAGCACCGAGGTGCATGCTGCGAGTGTAGTTACACGCGCTGCACCTGCTGGCGTCTGCAGTAATAACTGTTCTGAAGCAAAAAGCCTAAAACAAATTTTGCCGTGCACGCGCGTTCCTCAAAGATTTATTATGATTATTTATTTCAAATCTTTTATAAGTGGAAGGCCACCGCGCGCTCATCGTATAATTACACTTCCAGCGTTCTTCTCGATGTTCGGGTAATTTACTAATAGGTTAATTTTCAGTGGAGCCGAATTACAGGTTTTTCAATTTATGACGGTGTTATATACAGCTCTTACATGCTGGCCAACCATGCTGCCGGTGTACCGACCGCCTTTCACTGCTCACTGCTTTCTCATCGTTTCTAGCACTCAACTTCGTCGTCCTCTTTCGAACTCGGAAGGAAATTTCAACGAGGCTTTTCTTCACTTCATACAGCCAAATATTTAGAAAATTTCCAAACAAGGGTTAATTTAGTTTTACATTACCGATTATCTGTATCATGAGCAATAAAAGTTGTTTCTTAAGCTCAAATGTATGCCACGCTGCGTCGCGAAAACTCAGTAGCGCGCATTTTTTGGGTCCCCCCCATTTCTGGAACCTTTCCACGGAAGCCACTTTTATTCGCTACAGCCAGTAGGTGACACCAGCTACCACCCCATAATAAAACACGGAGCTATCGCTCATCCAGTCCTCGTCAAACTAGGCTATACTCCGCGACAACTTTTCTTGGCAATGCAGTGGAAGGTACAGGCCCGCGTTCCCTCTCCCATTTTGAGTGTACGCAGGCTCTCCTTTTCCACCCATTTCCGGGGAGAGGAGGAGAGCCCGCGCACACTCAAAATGGGAGAGGGGACGCGGGCCTGTACCTTCCACTGCATTGCCAAGAAAAGTTGTCGCGGAGTATAGGTACTTGTAGGTACCTAGTAGGGAAGGGCGGTTAACTTTTAACCGCGGTTAGAGTTAACCGGCTGTAGTAATCTTGAATAGCGATAGATGGCGCCAGTCGCCGTCTGTTTGTGTTATTTTGTTTGTTTAAAAGATGGCGCCATGTTTCCTTTTATTTCTTATTACTGGCGCCACCTGGGTTTTCCTGTCAATAAACTGGGGCTCACGAGTTTTCGTGAGCAGTCGTTACCAGCCCACGGCCGGGATCAGACGTGTCTTTCTTTCGTCTGGCTCTTCTGGAACCTCCTGTCTCTGATGGCCACGCCGGCCCGGAGTCCAGCGACGATGGGGACAGCCGGGTCCTCCGAACCGTAAGCCGCTCGCCGGCGCGTCGGCCATCACGTCTTTCTTTGTAGTTTAGTTATAGCGCGGGCAGTTAATACTCGGCACTCGTTCCACCCAGCGTTCCACCTTCTGCGCTGTCTCGGGACTGGGCCCCCGAGCACGCAGGAGGCTGTAGTCAGTATTCGTACCCAGCGTCCAAGTCAAGTCTTCTCTCTTTGTAAAATATTAAACCGGCTTCGAGCAAACGGGCCCAGCTGAGCTAACCAGGAGTTTGATGTCAGCAGAGCAAACGGGTTTTCTCAGCTGCCACCCGTTTGCTCTACTGACGTCTAAAGGCTCGTTCACACACTTGCAACCGAATAGGACCGAGAGAGACAAGACCCGTTGAAACCTTTTGAGATTTCTTAGACACTGGCACGCTGGCGCAATCTGTGCGGTGACCCTGGAACTGCATTTCACAAGAGCGAAGGTTTTGCGGGATCCCCGAGGTCAAATATGCGTAATACTGATGAGAAAGGCTCGTTTATAACGTTGACAAAAGTTTTTCGAGCTAAGAAAGAAAGGATAATGCGCGAGAGAAATAGAAAATATGCCGGTCTGCCAAGTTTACACCGCTACCCAATAGATGGCACCAGTGCGTCCTCTCGCCGTCGACATATTAGGAGGTTCCAAGTCACTCGGTTTTAAGAGGTCGCAAGTGTGTGAACGGGCCTTAACTGGTGTGAATCTAATATCACTCAGCTCGAGCTCGTACCCGTAGCTAATACTTAGACGCCGTTTTATACCGCACTAGTCACGCATTGAGTGCGCCAGCACGTCAAGCACTGGCCAACACTGTACAACGAAAGATGTATTCACCCTGAGACAGACAGACATGTAGGCACTATTTAATAAAACCGAACCCTCGAAACATGTCCAAATTAGGAGTCTCAAAACGCCTCAAATGCTGATCGTGCCTTAAATCTCTGTGATGATGTTGGATTTAGCGGTTTTCTATGATTCCTAGCAAATTTATACTGGAAAAGATTTCCCTTAGTTTAGTAATTAAAAGTTATTTACTGAAAAGTAATCAATGACTTAGCTGTTCCGAACGCTAATGATTTTCCTGAATCGGCGCTTTGGCGGAGGCCAATACGTCAGCCTTTTTTCTCTGCGACACGTATTCTGCGAGGAAACAATTTGGCCCGCGTTTAGAGAAACACCGTGTTTATATTTATGAGCATATTTTGAATCATGAGGCCGTTTTCTCGCAAGATTTTAAATGCAATTGGCTGTCACCGGGTCAGGGGAACGCGCGGAACTGTGGGCTAGTGTCTCCAGCTCACGGTGCCGAACGTCCCCCTGCTAACTCACAATCTCAGCACTTCTCATTCGATTTGTTTCTCACCTACCTTGCGTTTTGAAAGGTACTCCAACGACAGGTCAAGCTCCTCCACGTCATCCTCGCCGAAGGCTTCGTCGTCCAGCGGGCACGTGCTGTGTTCATCGGCGCACTGCGTGTAACACCTCGCACACAGCGTGTGGGCACAGGGCAGACCTACGGCCCTTGTGCTCAGGAGACCGCACAACGCACACGCTCTCCGACCGACCACACGTTCCGTAAACAGAATGGGCCTCCAGTCCAACGCGTCTGAGAAACCCGACGGCACAATCATCGTGCATCTACGTCCGCCCGTCGAGTCACCGGCCTCCGCCATTCCCGTCCTTAGGATGTAGTGCACTGCGCCGCCCGTGAAGCGCGATACCCGACCGCGGAAGCAGACTTTCACCGCAGACAGACGCTGATACCAGTCTCAAGGCCACGAGCATATGCTCGGAATGCGTGTAGGTGGCGCGCAAAGGCCGAGGAGCGAAAGGGCGCGCGCTTCGATAAAATACTTCACAGCTCCTGGAATAGATAATGCAAAAAAGTCCAGCATCAGCATCACCCAGATAACGCAGCTCTTTCTGCGCCCAATCCCACTTGTCTGGTTTCAATACCGTTTGGGTGGGTCGAGTATCAGCCGCCGAACCTCGTTTGCAAGTCTGAAACGCGTTTATCAACTTTAAATTTATGATAATGTGTGTATTATATTTGTGCTTCAGAGGCAGCCATAACCGGTACCGGTCCACTTAGATCAGGTATCTGCAAACTTTTTGGTTCAGGGGCCGGATTTGGAATATGTCGCAGTTGCGAGGGCCGGGAAATAAGTAAGTAAAAATAAAAATAAACGAAATAAATAAAGCTAGACAGTGGATTGAGTACAAAAAATCAAGTTACAGTTTAAAAACTCTAAAGTGGTTTAAAAGGACACTGACACCCCCCCAAAAGTTTTTTTTTTTTTTTCGGTTTTCGCCAGGCGCTTCATTATAGTGCCGGAGGGCTACCCAATTAATATTTTGTAACAGAGTAGCGTATATATTCAATAAAGCCAGAAGACGCAACTGTTCGAAAACGAAACCGAAACCCGCGCACGGATGTCGGAGAGTGGAGAGGAGAGAGTGAGTGGTGGAAGTCACGTGGCTACACCCGACCGTGCGCTTTTTTTTTTTTTTTTTTTTGCCCTGTTTGCCTAGCAGACGACATGCGAGGCATCGTAGCGGGAACTGTTTGCCGTGCGATTCTTTTGCAGTTATGTTTGTTCCTCTCGCTGTTATGTACTTCAAGATGAGTTGTTCTGTACGTTTAGGTGTTGGCAATTAGTAGTAAGTGCTCTTGGTGAATTTCCGTGATCGGCTCCGAAAAGAATACACCCAAGGTGTTGCGTGAAGAGCTGGCTCACATACCCTGCGTCCGAAAAAAAGTGGCATTGTGCGACAGAGTTTCCGAAAGATCAAAGGGATCGGGACCAATCGCTGGCTGCAATTCCTGTAGAACACTTACGGGCACCTCGGAAAGCGGACGCTACCTGATTTATATGCTCCTTGCATTTTGTGGAAAGTGATTACATTGAGTTCGCAGGTGTCAAAAAGAAAATCCCATACCATTTAGTTCAGTGACGTTTCGTCCACAACATTTGTTTATTAATTTTTTTTTGTCTGTTTCTTCAGTGATAAATGTAAAAAATATGTAAACATCGCAAAATGTCTAAAAAAAAAAAAAAACTACGGTTTCACCGGGAATCGAACCCGGTCCTGCCGCGTGTGAAGCGGACGTCTTTCCGGGAACTCTCTACCGAGTAAAAATACAGCCGGTAAACTCTAAGTTGAAAAGTTTGCTGCCGATTTTCCTCCAGCACAAGCACTCCCGGGTCGAAGTCGAAGCACCACGCATTGGCGACATCCGCACTTAGTAAAGAAATCGTACGCGTGCATATTCAACTCGAAGTACACACTTCGTGCGGTGCTTGACGTTTGCGCGAGCGGTGTCTTCAGCCACGAGAAGGGAGCGAAGGCTCGGCGACGTCTTTGTGCAAATCGGGTTGGTGGTCGGGCGTGTCGTACGGGATGAATACCAATCCTTTTGATCAGTCCCAAATTTCTTTTTTAAAGGCAGACAGAACTCGCCGGCACCGCGAACGACAGTTCTGAAGTAGAGGTCCCACGCCCGTCGTCCGCTGCTATCGCCGCCCCCGCGAGTCCCACGATACGCGAAACGACGCACGCACAGAATGCTTCCGGTTCTCTGTGCAACTTGTTTTTCAATCAACGTATTTGCAGCTTTTTAGAAGCCTCAAAAAATTGTTTTCATGTTTTTTTTTTCTATTTTTAATATTGAGTGCGTGCCTTCAGAGACCAACGACTTTGATTAAATTTGGTGGTCGCGTCGGCCCGTGACCACGGAAAAGAGAGTGAGCGAGACTCGTACCGGCCAGTTCTTGATCGGCGGTTTTCGGGCGGAAAGAAACCGAATTTCGAGCCGCAAATTGTGTTCTGGGTATTTGGGCTCTCATATGTCACGTATAACTAAAAACCTCGGCGAGCATAAATACCCTGTCAGTGTCCCTTTAATAAATACATTTTATTATAAAATTCAATTGTGATTAAAAAAAAACTCACCCTAAATAAATTAAAGTGCAGAGGAAGTTTAGCTTATTCACACAAGGCGGAAGACTAATGAGACTAATAGAATAGACCCTTTCCCAAATTCAGTGCAATCTAGTGCTGAAATATCAATGTAAAAGGATTGTCCGGTCAAATTTTGTACTCGAGAAAACAATTGAATATCATTGTTATTGCCTCGAGACGCATCGTACGTGCAATATCTGAATTTTGTATGCCACTCTGCGTGAGTAATTGAATTTATTCTGCTTCTATCGCATTCTAGCGTAAACGCTGCTTTCGTTGGCAACATTGAAGCTCTGACGTCACAAAACACAAAGCGAGCATTTTTGTCTCGTCGTTTGCCTACGAGTGAACGCCTCAGCGTGCTTCGTTTTTGTTGTTGTGCTCGACTTGTTTCGTGGTTGGGTGAGATTTTTGTTGCGCGGTTGGGTGCCACAACCACCGGGCAGCACATACGAGCCAAGACATGACGTTCCACACTTTTCCGCGAGACGTGCAGTGACGAGGAAAGTGGATCGTCGTCGTGCTTAGGGACTGGGTTCCCGCCAAGATCGAGATCCCGCTCATCTCACAGAAGAGAGCTACGAGCTGAGCTCTAAGCGGACAGAAGGCTTGTAAGCTGAGGTGTGATGCTGTGCCAACGATATTAAACTACGTCCACCCACTCGTCGCCCAAGTCGGATCAGTCAATTTAGGTCTGTTCGATTCGCCTGAACTGGCTCAACTAGTTCGGCAGTGCAGGAACTGGTGCATTCGATTAAACGGGAAGTTGCACGACCGTTGCACTGGCGCGTTTGATTCATCCCAGTTCTGAACGAGTTCAGACTCAGTTCCTCAAAATCTTGCACCGGCTCCGGACTCGGTTCAGCGTCTGTGCAGAAGCAGACGACAAGAGCAGGCGGCGATGGCAGAACTCCTCGTACGTCTCTGCTCGCGGTGACATTTTTCGCAGCGCTTGCTCAAATGTCGTCGATGTTTAAAAATAACGCCGATACGGAGGTTGCATTTCCTCTCATTTTTGATAATAACGTACCCGCGGTGGACGCGGTCATAACCGGGGGTAGGAATTTGCCTGATTATGATATTCTAAAGAGTAAAGCGTTTTAAGCACCTGCTCGCGTAGGTTTGGCTCCCTGTGGTGAGTGTTGAAATATTGGCTCACGTAAATTGTTTCTTTTTGATGCCATGTGGGGATCCACAGTGTTGATATTCTTACTTACAGACACGGGAAAGGTATTGCCCTCTTGATAGTCCCCGCCTTCAGTTGCTCTTGGATGCATATTGACCACACGGATACATTGCAGAGGTCTGGGATTTAGTGCGTTGGCACTCGCATGTCCATGTAGCTGAGCATAATAGTGCATGCCTTGTCTGCTGGTGTCTGTGGATGTCCACTAACGGGCCTGGGAAAAACGCCGAGAATCGGCATTTTTTGCCGATTCTCGCTTTAACTTGACGCCAAAGTTACGGTCGATAACTGTCTTGGCCAAGACGCTATCGTCAGGCCTTTGTCTTCGAGGTGACCGGTATACCGACCGCGCCCTGCCGCCAGTGACTCCCGACGCAAAATCATCCTGGTGCCGCGAACCTATTGTCGAAATGCAAAGATTCCCTTTGAGGGGCATTTGCCGCTACGTTTTTGACTTGTAACCGACTATAGTTCAGAACTTCCTGGCCGAATCGAACATACCGATTGATTATGCAGCGAAACCGAAACCAACAGCTTGGCCATTTCGAAGTTGTATTTAGCACGCGTGCAGCCCGATATCTGTTTGACCCACGTGTGAAAATGGAGCGTAGCTACGATTCACCAAGCTCGTACAAGTCAAGTGACGACATGCAGTTGAACGGTTCGCCGTTTGCCTTCGACCCGCGGACGTCGCTTCTGAGGGAATGACCCGCAGCCTCAACCCCGATCCAGTGGATCCGCCGAAATGTGTACCCAGATGCCGCTTCGTGTACTTAAGTGCCGCTTTAACGGCGAATTCTGCATTTTTTGCTTTGCAAGCACCCCTAGTTCGGTCGGCGTCCGTCGCGGTTGTGTTTGCGCGAAACGGCATACGTTTGCTCGAAGCTTATGGCTGTCTGCGAGTAATATCCTGCTAAAAGGCGTGACTTTTTTGCACGTGCTTGGGAACTGCATTAAAAGAAACGTATTTTAGTAGGGTATTGCCTACGAGACTATATAATTCGAAACAAAATACAAGACATCCATCGACCACGCTTGTTATCCCGACCATCCGACAAACCTTTGAGTTTTGTGACGTCACGCAGCACCTACGGATGTCAGCCATTGGCAATGGCGAAATTCGGGGTGCAGTTTCGTACGTAGGATCATGAAAGGTTTAATTAATAACGGGAGATTATATACCAAAATAAAAATGACGTTTGTCTATATGAAGGCTCCCCCGACGTAACGAACGCAAGAACTTAAGTACTTCCGGTTTCGACCGGACAATCCCTTTAAATATGTGTATGCTAATAGCGGTTAGAGTATAGTACTTAATCAGAGACGGCCGGCATACGAAAGTTACAGTGTTTATTAGGGTTGGGCAATTGACCAATTAACTTTCCGATTAAGCTATTAAGGATTTAATCGTGATCAATTTTTTTAACCGGTTACTTTTCTTGGCGTTTCCGGGGAGAGGAGGAAAGCCCGCGCACCTAGGCTAGGTGGCGCAACCTACTGCCCGCTATAAAGGGCATAGCCAGTAACGTCCATCCATCCACCCAGCTCTATTAGGAGAGGGAACGCGAACGCGTGCATGTACAGATTGCGACACTGTTAGCGCGAACAAGCGATCGCCGGTTTTTCCAGTTTTTCTCTTTGAAACCA